TAGCCAGACCTCATCTCTACAAAAAGATAAACAATCATTAGCCAGGTGCGCCAGGTGTGATGGCTTATGCCTGTAATCCCAGCACTTTGGGAGGCTGAGGTGGGTGGATCACCTGAGGTCAGGAGTTCAAGACCAGCCTGGCCAACATGGTGAAACCCCGTCTACTAAAAATACAAAAATGAGCCAGGTGTGGTGGCATGTGCCTGTAGTTCCATCTACTTGGGAGGCTGAGGCAGGAGAATCGCTTCAACCTGGGAGGTGGTGATGGCAGTGAGCCAAGATTATGCCATTGCACTCCAGCCTGGGCGACATAGAGAGACTCCATCTCCAGAAAAACAAAACAAACAAACAAAAATATGTTGCCATTTGCTAATGCCTATTATTTGGAATGTATTTTAAATTACATGAAATAAGAGCAGACTAGTCATGTGTCACTCATTTTCTAGTAGTTTCACAATAACAACAAAGTGAATTTGGTTGTTTATTTTTCAGATTTTTCTAATAGAACGAAAGGAAGTAAAAGAAAATTTCAAAAGATTACTGAAATGTTTGCAAACGCTTAAAAATACAGACTAGATTTTGACATCTTATGATCAGTTTTATTTTCTTGCTATTTATCAGTGTAGAGTGACCCAAAGTGGACATTTATTTTTCAGAAACTAGTATTGTGAATTCTTTTATTATTGACTTAATAAAATCACATGTTGCTTTTACTATATAAAGTACATAGCAGTCAAAAGTATACACTGAGTTTTCACTTAAGGTTTAAATTTTGTAGCACATGAATAAAAATTACAAGCAATATTTTATTTCTCAAAGCCAATGTTTTCGTTCTTGTAGGAATGTTTCAATATCAAAATAAAAATCTATGTGACATCAAACAGAAAGGCAACTTTAATAGTTTTTTTGTACCAGAGTTTAAAATGAAGAAAGCATATTCATATTTATGTTGATTTTCCCCTACAATACATATATCATATTGTACACTGTGATATCTTAAAACATTGGTGTACATGTCAAAAGTATTGACAGAAAAAAGTCCTATACTTGTGACAAAGATTTCTGGATACCTAACTCAGTGTCTACTTTTCCTTCTGAGAACATAATCCTAGTTTTACCTACAGCCACATTCCCAGGCTTACCACACTGCACACCTCTTGAGGAAACCATTAATTTTTGAAAACTGAAGTACAATATATATTCAGTGAAGTATAAAGTATACTAATGTTGGGATGAGGAAGAAAAAAGTATACTAATCTTAACTATACAGCTTGATAACTTTTTACATATGTATATTGTATCATATAAAATATGCATATGTAAAAATACGTATACATAAAAATACATATACATACTACGTATATGATACATATGTATATATATTAAACCCAGATAAAGATACTGAATAATCTGTTCTATTTTATATATATTTTTTGTGAATGGTGCTCTCTGGAATTGTTTAACATGGAGACCCTGAATATGCCTATCTAGAAACTTATCCCTTGTACCTAGGGGCAACCAATGAAGCCAACCTAGTGCCAGTCACTCCTCGGGAGAGCTTTTCAGAGGTGGCTGACTCAGCTGGGAGAGATGTCCCTTTTGCCCCTTGCATTTATCTTTCCTGTCTGAAATTGTGGTTAGGATAGCTGGCATTCCTGCAGCCATATTGTGACCATGGAGTAACTGAGGATAGACATGCCAAACATAAGGCTAGACATCATGGGGATGGAAAAATAGTGTTAAGACAGCTAGATGTGCTGGTTCACACCTGTAATCCCAGCACTCCCAGGCTGAGGTGCGAGGATCACTTGAGCCCAGGAGTTGGAGACCAGCCTGGGTATCATAGGGAGACCATCTCTACAAAAATAACAAAAATTCGCTGGATGTCATGGCACGTGCCTATAGTACCAGCTGCTCAGGAAGCTGAGGCAGGAGAATCGTTTGCACCTGGGAGGCAGAGGTTGCAGCGAGCCGAGATCGCACCACTGCACTCCAGCCTGGAAAACAGAGTGCAAACCTGTCCCTCCCCACCCAACCAAAAAAAGGGTGGGCACGGTGGCTTATGCCTGTAATCCCAGCACTTAAGGAGGCCAAGGCAGGCAGATCACTTGAGTTCAGGAGTCTGTAACCAGCCTAGCCAACCGGGCGAAACGCTGTCTCTACTAAAAACACAAAAATTAGCTGGGTGTGGTGGCAGGCACCTGTAATCCCAGCTAGTTGGGAAGCTGAGGCAGGAGAATCACTTGAACCTGGGGCACAGAGGTTGCAGTGAGCCAAGATCACGCCACTGCACTGTCCAGCCTGGGCATCAGAGTGAGACCACGTCTCAAAAAATGAAAAGAAAAGAAAAAATAGTGTAAGACAATTTTTTTCAAAGAAGATGTAGAAGAACTTTTGAGGAGATGTAACTGAGCTGAGACTTGAAAGATGGGAAGAATTTAAATGAGAAGGTATAGAGAACATGCACGGCAAAGTCACATGAGGAAAGAAGACATGGGGGCAGAATGAGCATGCTCTAAGGAAATGAGACTGACCATTTTTTTTTTTTTTTTTGAGATAGAGTCTCACTCTGTCACCCAGGCTGGAGTGCAGTGGCGCGATCACAGCTCAGTGCAACCACACTCAAGCAATCCTCCCACCTCAGTCTCCTGAGGGTCTACAGGCATGCACTACCACGCTCAGCTAATTTTTTAATATTTTTTGTAGAGGCAAGGTCTCACTGTGTTGCCTAGACTGATCCTGAACTCCTAGCCTCAAGTGATCCTCCCGTCATGGCCTCACAAGAATATTTCTGTATTAGAGACTGGCAAGAAAAGTTTGGTTAGTTAGGGTAAAGCCAGGATGGGACACTGACATCCAGAAGAAGAGTTAAGACTTGATTGGTAGGGGGACCAAAGCAGTTTTAAAAGGAGACATGATATAATTTAGGTCACATCTGAAGATTATTTTGTCAGTGATGCACAAAATGAATTGGGCTGGAGAGAGACCCTGGTGTCTACAGGAGCTGGAGCCCTAGTAACTCAGGCATGGAGTCAGTAGAGCTTTGCTCAGGATGGCCCCAGTGGGAATAGGGAGGGAGACAGGGCTACAGAAACCATTTTGAGGAAGAACCTCCAAAGCATCAATGTCTATCAAAATACCTAGCAGACACTGCCGATGTTTAATGAATATTGCTAAGAAACTAACCTGCTGTCCTGGTTCAGACTGTAATTAACAGCTCGTAACAGGATTCACTACCTCAACTATCTTTTTTTTTCCCCCCTCACTCTGTTGCCCTGGCTGGAATACAACAGTGCAATCTCAACTCACTGCAACCTCCGTCTCCTGGGTTCAAGCGATTCTCCTGCCTCGACCTTCCAAGTAGCTGGGAATGCAGGGGCGTGCCACCAGGCCTGCCTAATTTTTTGTAATTTTTTTTTTAGTGGAGACAGGGTTTCACCATGTTGGCCAGGCTGGTCTCGAACCCCTGACCTCAGGTGATCCACCCACCTCGGCCTCCCAAAGTGCTGAGATTACAAGCATGAGCCATCAGGCCTGGCCTATCTTATCTTTTTAATCTATCTTTCTTACTGTAATTGGAGTGACTTACCTAGAAGACATTTAGGCCATCTTTACACCCTACTTCAAAGTTGTCCCCAGTGGTCTAAATAATGAAATCCAAACGCCTGAGTATGGAATGATCCTTCATGATCTGAGTCCGATTTGCCTTTCTGGCCTTGTGTCCTATAAATGTCCCCCTGCCCAACCAAATATATATCTACCCTATACTGTAATCGCACTGGAAACTCACTACTAACTGCTTCTTGCATTTTCTGATTGGTACTTCTGTGCACGTTAAGGTCTATCCACTTGCAACACCTTCACCACTCTACACGTCTACATTATGCTCATCATTCAAGCCCAGCTCAAATGCCAACCTTTCCCTAGAGCCTGACCTCCCCATTCACTACTACTCCTGTTTTCAAAGTAGGTGATCAGACTTACCGCATTTTTCTTTTTATTAAAGTTAACTGGGTATATGTGTGATATCTCCCTACCGAATTATAAACACCACAAATGACTTATTCATGTTGCTTTTTGTATTTCAGAAGCACATAATAAATGTAAAAAAACAGTTTAAAATGTGTAGTGAGAATACTAAGTAAAAATTAGCAATCTGAACATAAACACTTATCTTCTCTCTTGGGAGATTCTATTTAAATCGTAGGCAATAGTTTGTAAAAGACATAAAACCATTACAGCAAAGAAGATGAGAGGGCCATCAGCAGCCGAGCAATTTCAACAGTCACCTAGCAGACGGGTGAAGCGGGGATGGAAGTGATGATGGATGGCAGAGGAAGCTGAAAACCACCAAAAGAACAGAGTGTCAAAGCAAAAGGGGCAACTACCCTAATGACAGAATGTCTCAAATACCACCTTTGCCTCTGGATGGTACATGTACACACACGCATCAGCACGTATGCACACATACCCTCTTATTAGAGATCTTCTCTTTATGTCTATTTTCAGGAGGAGATTTAATGAAAATATAAGCATCAGATTTTTTTCCTTTTTTAAAAAAATTTATTTTAGTACAAGTTGGTTCTACAGATAAACTGTGTGTTGTGGGGGTTTGTTGTACATATTATTTCATCACCCAGGTAATAAGCATAGTGCCCAACAGGTAGCTTTTCTATCCTCACCCTCCTCCTGTCCTCTACCCTCAAGCAGGCCCCGGTGTCTATTGTTCCCTTCTTTGTATCCATGCATACTCATGTT